TATTGTCCTTCGGAAGGGACGTTAAATGGGGGACCGGTGTAAGGAGAGTCACGCCTTGCAAGTTAAAGATCGCTCTGCTGGCTTTTGAAAAAGAGTAGGCTAATTGCTAGCCGCCACGGAGTATAGGATATAAATTTAAACTAGTGTAGGGCTTTAAGTGACAGTCCAAAGTACAACCCCTAAATTATAGGAACTGAACGTTATGTACTCATACCCTCCATTTTAGAACTTTTTGGCAACACTCAAAAGGCGGAATTGCAGCCAAGGGTCCCTCTAGATCTCCATAGAGTGTATTATAGTGTATTGCTGAAGACATAAAACAAACGAATATTGCGTTATCCCGTTCTGTTGCAACAATATTGACACTGCTCTGCTCCGCTTCAGTATACATATATCAGGGTAGTTAAAACGAGCCCTATAATTATTCCACGTCTTATTTGATCTTTTCCCATTTCTTTCCCTGTTGACTTTCATTATATAGATTTACTGATTTTGCAAAAAATGAACATTGCACTTCGATATCATAATGTTCGTTTTATAGTTCTTGCCAACATCAGCAGCTTCATCATTTATATTGTGAAAAATATGGCCTGGTAAATTACAATGTTGCTGTGACTGCTATCTATAGGTTAACAAGGTCTGCCGTTTTCTTTCATTATATTATGTACATGAACATTTTCTCGAGACTTCTTAGATACATGATATATGATATATGACGCATGTGAAATGATCCTCTTGGCCTGGCTTTCACTCTCCAGCCTTATCATTAAGTCAATTTCTCTGTCTTTCCGTAAGATCCAATTGATGTCCTCGTCTATTTTGATACTGTTAATTTGTAATCTTTCTGATGTATCGTCTTGGAACATTTTTCCATTTGGTTTTTACTACCCATTCATCTCTTGTTATTTGAGTTCTATAAAAAGTTCCTAAGCCAGATGATCGTGGTTTGCTTATTGGATATTTTCATTGGTTTTTTTTAAATGGACTTCTCTCTGAAAATGTTGTTGCTAATGTCAAGCGCTTTAATCTACATGTACTTTCCATTTACCAATCTCATTTTTTAACATGCTTATGTGATTAAAATACAGCTCCTCATTATAACATCGTTCTACTATCGTATGATGATATCAGATTGTCTAACATGCCTGATCTGTTTGCATCAATTATTTTTGTATTGACACTTTTTGCTGTGTTTTTGTATTTGTCACTCTTTGCGTGGGTCAGTCCCAAATATCCACGACTCGACACTCTAATATTGAAGTCCTTCACTAATCTCTTTAAAAAAGGCTAGAAATGATTGACTGAGTCAAAGGTTCCATTGTGTTTCAAGAAGGCGCATGTTAGACCATTGTTAAAGAAGCCTGGAATGGACAAGGAGGAGTTGAAGAACTACCACCCAGTTTCAAATCTGCCTTTTCTGTGGATCTTGAAGAAGACTGTGTCCCGGCGTTTAGAGGTTCATATCCATGCAAACAGTCTCCATGACAACATGCAATCGGCCTACCGCACGTGTACATAATGACATCGCTTCTGCATTGGATAACAAGTGCAGAGCGGTGCTTGTCATCTGAATTTGACCATGGCATACTTTATAAACTTCTTGAATACTCTTATGGAGTGACTGATACGGCACTATGCTGGATACAGTCTTATCCGAGTGAAAGACGACAGTGTGTTGCCATCGGATCAACCACCACCACACATGCCAAAGTACTAGATTTCGGGGTTCCTCAAGGGTCGGTTATTGCCTGTACTCCAAACCGATTGGAGAGATTTGTCGTCGCCATAGTTTTCGCTATCGATATCATTGCTATGCTGATGACACACAAATTTACATGGTCATCAAACCACAGGACAGTTGGGATACTGTTTCAGAAATCTGGAAGCTTGTCTGACAGATATCAGAACCTGGATGAACGCCAGCCAACATGCTAAAGTTTAATCGGGAAAAGACGGAACTAGTCGCCTTTTCCCCAAAGTGTCAGCGAACAATGGCTCTCCAGCTCAAGGTCGGTTCCAGAACTATTGAAACTGTCCCAGCTATTAAAAACCTAGGGGTATACTTTGATAGTTCACTGAACATGGAGAAACAAGTGAACGCTATTGCCAAATCCTGTTACTACTAGATCAGGAACATCGGCTGTATTCGGCAGTTTATAACTGAAGATGCATGCAAGATTTTGGATTATGGTAACGCCCTGCTCTGTGGTATATCTGACAAACTAACAAGTCGTCTGCAGAGGGTCCAGAAAGAGAGAGCACATCACACCTGTACTATATGCATTGCACTGGTTACCTGTACGATACATGTCGCAGTACAAAAGTTTGGTGTACACATACAAGGCACTGAATGGAACAGCTCCTCAGTACCTACAGGAGCTTGTTACCCTGTATCAGCCGTCACGATCACTGCGGTCGGAGTCAGAATCTTTGTTGTGTGTCCCAAAATATCGTACTGTGACCTACGGAAACCGGTGCTTTGGGAGGGTTTCGGCCACGTTGTGGAATAGCTTACCATCTGCTATAAGAAGCACCCTGGCCAAATTTAGCGTCTCTGTAAAGACGTTATGTTAATACCACCCTTTATTTGTTCAATTACCAGGTATGTGCACATTGCTTGCTAAATGTATAAAAGTGATTGTAAGCCTTTGATTTTGTTTCACAATTATAACTATTACTATTATCCATATGTTGTAAAGCGCTTTAGAGTAATTTTACAAATTATATAGGGCGCTATATAAATGTTGTATATTATTATTATTATTATTGAAATGTCATTATGTGATCTGTCCAAGTATACTCCTGTATACGTGTACCATTATGCAGAAGTATAGTTTATACACTAGTTAATCCTCAGAAAGCTACAGTTATTTTCTACTGTGCTGAAAGTTTTGGCAAGGTTTACATTTACATGAAATACTGCTTTCAAAGTAAATTTTATATTGAATCCATAATTTAATAAACTGTAACATTTTAAGTGCTTTTAAGTGCTTTTTCGTTTTCCTTTGTTATAATTTTATAGACAGCAACATGACCTATCACATTGTGATGTCCAACGTTTTTATGTCCGCACCGCCGCCTTCTTTTCCCTATTTTGCATGGTTTCACACTTCTTCCTCTGCTTATCGTAGTGATCAGAAAAAATAGTCATGTTCCGTTTCACTCGAATGGGTCTTAACTTGGTGTTCTTAACACAGCAAAGTTCAATAAAGTCATTCCTTCTATGTCATCTTTCAATTTTTTAACTATATTTCCTTTGTGATAAAAGACTTTATATGTACAGTTCAGTTTACATTTGTATTTTTTCTTCTGTGTTGAAAACCAGTCTTATCTTTGGTTGATTTTCATGTGGAGCCTATAGTTACCACTCTCCCGACTATTGATACTGAACAAATAATCTGGAAAAACACGTGGTTGACTGGAATGGTAAGCTTGCTTCCTGTCTTAGAACCCATCTGCAAGATCTATCTTCTCTAGATCTGTGCCATTGAAATATATGGCATGACAAACTCGAAGGCTTTTAGCAGAACCGTCAACTTGACATTAAGAAGCGCAGTACAGTTTTAATAGAAAAGAAAAACTAGCACTTTTTAAACCTTCACACAATTTTATTCAACAGGAATGTAAAGAGATAAAGAAATTAATAAATTATAACAATGAAAACAATCACACTGCATCATTATCACCCTCAGGGGTCACACTCAGTATTGTTATCACCCTCAGGGTCACACTCTGAATCATTACCACCATCGGGGTCACACTGTTTATCATTATCACCCTCAGGGGTCACACTCAGTATTGTTATCACCTTCAGGGTCACACTCTGAATCATTATCACCCTCGGGGTCACACTGTTTATCATTATCACCCTCAGGGGTCACACTCAGTATTGTTATCACTCTCAGGGTCACACTCTGAATCATTATCACCATCGGGGTCACACTGTTTATCATTATCACCCTCTGGAGGTCACACTGTGTATCATTATCACCCTCGGGATCACACTGTGTATCATTATCACCCTCGGGGTCACATTCTGTATCATTATCACCCTCAGGGGTCACACTGTGTATCATTATCACCCTCGGGGTCACACTCTGTATTACTAATAATCAAAGGATCACTTCACAACAAATGCTGTCATCACACTGAACAGTTACATTTTGAGTTATCTCCCTTGCCACCATAGATTTCATGTCTCTTCCAATTTTCTGAGATACAAAATGTACATTTCACAGTTTTCATTTGGTGGCTGACCAGATAATTCTTTTGAAATTATGAGTCAGGTATATTTACCATTTTTCCACATGGAATTAGCATTCTACACTACACATGTTTTAAACCCCGCAACCCTATTCTATGAGCTACTAATCACATTATTATAATAGTTATTTAAGTGGTGTAATAAATATTTACTTTGCTTAGCTTTCTACATCTACCTACTTCTCAAATAGGTGCTTAACTCATTCAACCCTGAAATTTCATATTGAACTATTTCAACCTTTGAATTGGAAGAGTCAAGTCAGTGAAACAACAATTGAAGAGTCACCTGTTAACTATATATATATATTAATATGGAATTTCTGTTACCAATATCTGGTGTTAGTTGGAATTGAGAATCTGTGTCTGTGAAAACTACCTCTAGCTGAAACTGTGCGGGTAATTGAAAGGTAGCGAAATACACATCACTCAGACACGTGCACACTGCAAGTATGGAAAAGGACATATACACATACACACAAAAACACATGTACACACACATTGTGCTATCTTCTTAATAAAAACAACAAACTCTCATTCCTGATAACAATCATGTATATTTTAAATTACTAAAAAATCATGGAATGTAGCTTAACACAACCACGTTCGCGAAGATGCCACCTCACATGAAAAAGAGTAAAATGATTTGTAAACATTAAACATCATTTAAAACAAGAGGCCCAATGGGCCTGAATCAGTTATTAAGAAGAAGTTGTTTAAAGTGAAATATTGACGCCGGATGCAGGACGACGGACAACGGACGCTGCACCATGCCATAGGCTCACTTAGCCCTTTGGGCCAGGTGAGCTAAAAATCATTGACAGTATTATTAAACTCTTGAGGTATATTGCCTTTTATTTTTAAATTAGCTCAATGAATATGTTGACCTGTAAACTACCGATCTTTAATCCTAGACACAGGGGTGAAGCAAAGATCCCAAAACCCATGGCCTGGGCAAAGGGGCATGGCAAAGATCCCTAAACCACAGGTCTGAGCACAGGGGCACGGCAAAGATCCCTAAACCAAATATACATATTTTGTAATGCATTTTTCCGAAACACAGAAAACTCACTCCAATCAACATCTTTTGAAGAGAAATAAGAATTTAAATTAAGACAAGCTTTAAAAAAACAAAAAACATGTCACCTCTTTCTGTAAAAAGAAATAAAAATTAGGGACTTCTAGTGGTTCCAGTGATACAAATTTTTATGATGATGGGTTCAAATATTTTGCAAACAAAGAAAGGGCCCTTGTGTTCTAATTCTTACCGATTTCACATCAGTGTCAGAACAAATTTTTCAAAATAGGTAATGGGAAGTTTCAAGTTTTGGAATGTATTGTTTGGCCAACTGTTCAGCAGTATAATCAATAAGAATGCCTCAGACAAAAAGCAACTAAGAAATGCAAATAGCAGCATTAGTCTGCATCCAAAAATGGTACCTGAAATGATACCGCGACTACCACGTGAAAGTACCTACATGCATAAAAACCACAGGACACAAACACAATTAAAACTGGATACTTGTACGCAGGTAGCACTGTATCACGTACTATTCAAGGTCACTGATGACTTATGCAACACCTGAGCAACTAGTTCTTATCCAGATTTCTTTGTAGGTTGTAGTGTTTCTGTCTTCATGTTTTTCAGGCGTAACTTGTTAAGGACTTGTGCGGTAACCATGGCAGCACTCTTTTGTCCGGCTTGTTGTTGCGCTTGTTGTAGATATAACCAGAATGGCATCATGTCCGGCTGTAGCTCCGTACCCTGTCAATGATAACAGCAATAATAAAATCACCAAACCTTATTGTGAGATCACCTAACCTTAATGTTAAACATAATTTCTGGCTTGATAAAGTATAAATATATGGTAAATTGTTTTCGGTTAAGTAGAGAAAATGGTGGTCACATCTAATGGTGAGGTGTGAAATTTATTCCCTTTGAGTATATTCCAGGAATAAACTGATAGTTTGACAAGCATGATAAAACAAAAATATCCCCCCCCCCCACCCACCCACCCTACTTAAAATGACTTTTACTTGGCAGTTCCAGTCAAGACATGCTGAATTCCGATATACAAAATTGTGATAATATTTTACTTTATGTTGTATATATAATTTAAAGCAGCTTTTAAGCTTTTTTCAATGAACAAATTATAACCTACAGAGAAGAACATTTAATAACAAGAGGCCCAATGGGCCTGCATCGCTCACTTGGTATTAATCTCACACTTGTAATCTTAAAAGTGGACTAAAATACAGCTACAGGCAGAATACCAGTGTGACCTTGAATGTTAAACAATGACATTAGGTTGAAAGTGGGTCAAGGTCATTCATTTGAACAAATTTGGTAGCCCTGATTGCTACAGGCCAAATATCAGTACCCTGGGCCTTTTGGTTATTGAGAAGAAGTCGTTTGAAGATTTAAATACATTTGACCCCTGTGACCTTGAAAGTGGATCAAGGTCATTAAGTTGAACAAACTTGGTAGCCCTTCATCCCAGTATGCTACTGGCCAAATATCATCACCCTAGGCCTTTCGGTTATTGAGAAGAAGTCGTTTGAAGATTTTAAGACATTCAACCCCTGTAACCTTGGAAGTTGGTCAAGGTCATTCATTTGAACAAACTTGGTAGCCCTTCATCCCAGCATGCTACAGGCCAAATTTCAGTACCCTGGGCCTTTTGGTTATTGAGAAGAAGTTGTTGTAAGTTGTTTAAAGACATTTGACCCCTATGACATTGAAAGTTGGTCAAGGTCATTCATTTGAACAAACTTGGTAGCCCTTCATCTAAGCATGCTACTGGCCAAATATCATCACCCTAGGCCTTTCGGTTATTGAGAAGAAGTTGTTTGAAGATTTTAAGACATTCAACCCCTGTAACCTTGAAAATTGGTCAAGGTCATTCATTTGAACAAACTTGGTAGCCCTTCATCCCAGCATGCTACAGGCCCAATATCAGTACCCTGGGCCTTTTGGTTATTGAGACGAAGTTGTTGGACATTTGACCCCTATGACCTTGAAAGTACCCTTTGGGCCAGGTGAGCTAAAAATGTAAAGATATTTTCAAATATGAATTGATTAGAGTAATGTAAAATGTGTTACCCTTTTGAAGTGTGGAACAGCTTCCGCTGGGCGGCCATTGCTCATATAGAAGTCGCCCAGGGCAGCATGGATATCCCAGAGGTCAGGGTTCAAGGCCAGGGCCTTGTTGTAAGCGTCCTCAGCGTCTTTACCCTTCTTGAGCTGTAAAACAACAATAGAGTCAAGTAACAATCAAAGGTCAGCTATCAATCAACTACCAACAAAGGTCAATCTTTATTCAAATGTCAAATAACTATCAAAGTCAATCAATATTCAAAGGTCAAATAATAATCATAGGTCAACAACGGTCAATCTATATTCAAATGTCACATAACAATCATAGGTCAACAAAGGACAATCAACATTCAAAGGTCAAATAACATTCAAAGGTCAACAAACAAAGGTCAATCAACATTCAAAGTTCAAATAACAATCAAAGGTCAACAAAGGTCAATCCACAATCAAATATCAGCTTATATAACAACACATAGTTCCATGAACAAAAAGTTTATCAAGTTTCAAAAAAGATTACTCTTTATCTTGTTGGTTACCTGTATAAGGTTAATGTCCCTTGCATAACTATGATAAAAAAAGGAATATTTTCCATACCTGTGTGAGTATTTTGCCTTTGTTAAGATGAGCAATGACAAAATCTGGGTCAAGGTCGATTGCTTTCTGAGTGTTTTCCAGTCCATCCCTTAGTCGTTTTAAATCAAAGTACATCTGTCCTTGTTTCATCTTAACCTCAGCATTATCTGTCAGAGAGAACACCAGCATGTTATAGGGTTAAACAAATAGTGTTTGGATAAGTATTTTGAAGTACATTTTAAAAATGAACATGTGAATCTCTTAATCTAGGTAAGGCACATACAACTTTTATTTCACAGGGTCAAACATTTTGCTTTTATGTTCCTGAAACCATTTACCTTGGCTGTACTGACCTTTGTGTATTACCCGACATACGTAAAACATCCAACAATTCAAAAGTTACAGTCTGGACAAGCATTGCATTGGTTTGACCTTTGACCTTTTCTTTGACCTTTTCTGTGACCTTAACTTTGAGGGTATATACATGTACATACATACTCAATAAAAATACAAATATCTTTCATTTTTTTTCAAATAATGCTTAGTTAATAAGTAGTAATCATTACATTATTCTGACCTTGACACTTGCAGTGACCTTGACCTAGCGGACACAAATCTGTCATAATACACATACTGATATCAATGAAGTTTTGTTAAAAAAGCAGCTCATAAGTTCTGGTCCAGACATCTGAATGGATCGATAAACAGAGAGACTATACTTTATATTTTAAGGGCATAACATCACATTCAACCCTCCAAACCTGTTTACATATAGTAACAACATTAAAGAGCTTGTCAGGAACGGTGTCTGCCGAACAAGGAAGGACAAGTAATGCATTAGTAAGGCTTACCTGGTAGTAATTGTTGGAGTTTGTTGAAAATTTGGACTTTCCTTGACTCTAACTTCTTTTTTTTCTCGTCTGATTTCATAAGTGTGCCAATTTCATTGGAGACTGCCAACTCTGTCAACACAAAAAGGAGACAACTACAGAATGGTCTGTGACACAGAGAACAGTGGTAAGTAATACAATATACAATACAATATGGGATACACACTATGAACTGTCCAAACCAAACCCTGTATAAACCAAACCCTGTATAAACCAGGCATATCTATATCCAAACTTTGCTATATAACACTTTTTTTTGCTGTGACAGAAACATCAGTGCAGTACAAGTGTTGTACAGTGATATCTGATTTTACAGACTTTATATGTATAACTTGGTGAAACATAATAGCCAGCTGGTTTATTTGAATCCACTGACATCAAGGGGGACTTGACCATTTGGTCAGATAAGACAGTGTGTCAGTAAACCTGTCTACACTGACATCAAGGGGGACTGGATCATTTGGTCAGATAAGACAGTGTGTCAGTAAACCTGTCTACACTGATATTGTGGGAGACTGGATCATTTGGTCAGATAAGACAGTGTGTCAGTAAACCTGTCTACACTGACATCAAGGGGGACTGGATCATTTGGTCAGATAAGACAGTATGTCAGTAAACCTGTCTACACTGATATTGTGGGAGACTGGATCATTGGGTTGGATATAAAAGCATGTGTTTAAACCTTATGTTACAATCATCAATCTTTTACAGAAAATCTAGCTAGTTGTACACCTTACCTTCGTAGAACAAGCGTTCCTCCTTGGTCTTGGCACGCTTCTTCTGTATACCTACTGCCACAGTGTCCCCCAAGTTAATCGTCCCGTGGTATGTACCCTCCGGCTGTTAACAGTAAAATTATCTATAAATTAATGGAACCATCAGTTACATGATTCATCATTGTTGTTACCATGAAAATTCCTTCAAATATTTTTGTTTGACTTTCTTGGAGAGTAGACTTTGATATCAAATATACTGTGAATATAACAAATGATTTCGTTCTAGATGAAATAATGGCTTTCGTTAATTTAAACCCATGCATGCACATACTTGACAACTCTTCCTTATTTGGAGGGAAACTCCCAAGTTTTGACCCTTAATTTGAACATTTTTAACCAGTGACTTTGCTGGACAATTCCTATATTCTAAGATATAGTGGTATGATCAGAAAAAAAACAACTCAAAAGATGTCGTTTTAAAGCATTTTTTTCAATTGGGGATTTTCTATTTCGAGCTCATGGAATCGCCCCCATGGGAATAAATCATTTGAAACATGATCATGGAAATACTTTTCTCTGTTGATTTAGTGATTTTAGAAATAAAAATAGTTATTTTCCAAATATTTTTCCCTACATGAATTACATGTATAAAGACAAATATGTAAATCCAAGCAATATCTTCTTGTCCTTTCCCAGGCAGTATCGAGTATTTCCCAGGCAAACCAGAATTGACTGTATCTATCTATGTAGTATGCTTACTAAGTTAATCTGAATTTACCTGTATCAGTCTAGCTTAATTTAATAAGTAGTTATTTCTACAGCCTATCCAAGAGCTTACCTGGATTAACTGGAACACTTACCAGGCATATTATTTCCAAAGAGCTTACCTGAGATTACCTGTACACTTACCAGGTTTGATATTTCCCCAGAGCTTACCTGTTCACTTACCAGGTATAATATTTTCCAAGTATTTACCTGAGATTACCTGTAAACTGACCAGGTATAATATTTTCCCAGAGCTTACCTGAGATTACCTGTATACTTACCAGGTATAATATTTCCCCCCAGAGCTTACTTGAGATTACCTGTACACTTACCAGGTATAATATTTTCCCCCAGAGCTTACCTGAGATTACCTGTACACTTACCAGGTATAATATTTCCCCAGCCTCCTGTATACACTCCTGAGGTTTGAGGGCGTCGCCCAAGTGAGGATAGAGTTTTCTGTACCATTCCCCTTGTGTAAACCCTGGGTACACACCTACATAGGTACAAAGTCTTATGTCAAATACATAATCCGTTAGATATGTATCAAATCAAAGCTAAAAGTTGTTAGATTCAGTGTGTGAATGTATATGGTACAGGCAAAGCTGTTTATGACAATGTTAATAACTGTTTAATGGTAAAAATATGATAAAGTTTTCCATCTCTTAAATTTGAAATAAAAAATGTATGAACAAGGTTTACATGCTTTATCTCCCATTTATTGGTTCCAACAATGTAAGTTAAGGCTACAGAATTACATAAATGAGACAATACAATGTTATACACACGTATGTAGAATTATTTCTGCATCAAATGTTTCATTAATTTCTAACTGTTGAGAGAAAAAAATCTTACTATTTTTTACCAAAACTCACTAAAAGAAAATCAAATGATCTCACTATTTTCACTGATCTCACCTTTTTCACTGATCTCACTATTTTCACTGATCTCACTATTTTCACTATTTTCACTGATCTCACTATTTTCACTGAACAGTTACAACATGTATGACAAGATTATGATGTAATACTTTTTGAATAGCAAATCAGAGGAAGTAAGGCTTACTTGCTGAATATTTTAAGGTTACATGTAGGTGAAGAATTGGGCAAATTTGGTGTGAAATGTATCCAAAATGAATGGGGTTCTCCTAACACGGGAATTAAATAATGTATACTTTAAAGTTTAATTGTAGTTGATCAATGGCATCAGTTTTGATTCCAGGAGCTGCACAACACAGACTTTGATCTTTGACTCAAAAATGAATTCTTGGCCCTTGTATATTTGTTTCATCATTTGATATCCATTATACCATACTAAAATCAGGCTAAAAACGTTGTGTAAAGATTTGTGCTTATTTATTGATTTAAATATCAATTCTGAACATTAAAGATGCTATGTTCATTTACATCCTCGTAAACGAACATGTTCGTAAACAACTATGTTGCATGTCATTGTAAAGGTTAATAACATTCATTTCCATCTTTAAATAAATTTTAGATTTACAACGATTAAAGAATCAATATTTTTCAGACGCAAAAAAATACTGTTAGCAACATGGAAATTTGAAGCCGCTTATATATCGTGTATGTTTCAATTAAGCAGGGAAATGCCTTTCAGCTAAATTGTCACTTTAGGTATCATAAAAAAGCTATGAATATTTAATTCTATTTATCAACACGTTTATCTTTGGCAGAATAATGGAGACACAGATGAAAGGAAAACGGTTTTTAGTTCAATAAATATTACATAAATCTAGATTGTTTTTTAGATTAATCTCAACTATAAAGGTAGCATGGCCATGGCCGTACTTAGTCATCCTTACTAAAACACCCCCAGTAACATCAACTCCTCCCAAGGGCTTGTGTGGAAATGTGATTCAAACACTTTATAAACACTTTCATCCATTTTCATTGCCTTGATGTAACAGATCCTGCCAAGTATATATAGCCAATATCTCACATTAATTCGGTTTTACATGGGGGAAAGCTATCACAGTTTATCCTGTTCAAACAGTTCCTGAATTTTTTTTTTCTTTTAGCGGGGTTCTAATTTTTGTGAATTTAACAGTACAATTTTATGTTAATTTTCTGCAAAAAATCAATACAATATTCTAAAATAAGAATCTGATTAAACTTAATCACAGCACTTTGTGCCATAAGTCATGAAATCTGCGAAATATATAAACAAAGCTGCGAAAAATAAGAAAAGCAAAAAAAACCCCAAAAAAACCAGGAACACTTATAAAGAGTTTTAATAGTGCTTCTTATAAATACATAGACAATCACCTTCCTTTTTTTCTTTTTTGTTTGCTGAAATAAATCCTGTATTTTAAAATTCTGAGATATTCTCTGCTTATCAAACACATGATCTTGTAAACGTAAAAAAAAGCACTGTGTGTCTCAATGTTTACCTCCTGGGGGAGTTTGGTGGATGTCGTACAGGAACCAGCGTTTCCGACCAAAGATAACGCCATTCCAGGCATCCGCATGTTTGTGGAAACTGACTCCACTTCTCGACGCTCCCATGAAGAATATACTGTCATCTACACCATCCTGAGAATAAGGGAGAGACAAATATGTATAGAGCAAAACTAAAACATATTTGAAAAATCAGGGGGAGATAACCACAGATCACCTCACATATCAAGTAAATTACAATCAGGGGGAGATAATCTCACATCACCTCACATATCAAGTAAATAACAATCAGGGGAGATAACCACATATCACCTAACATATCAAGTAAATTACATTCAGGGGGAGATAACCACAGATCACCTAACATATTTAGTAAATTACATTCAGGGGGAGATAACCACAGATCACCTCACATATCTAGTACATTACAAGCGGGGGGAGATAATCACATAACTTGTAGTATATTATAATCAGGGGGAGATAACCACATATTACCTCACATATCAAGTAAATTACAATCAAGGGGAAATAATCACAATTCACCTCTCACATCAAGAACATAACAATCAGGGGGAAGATAACCACAGATCACCTCATATATCAAGTAAATTACAATCAGGGGGAGATAATCTCATATCACCTCACATATCAAGTAAATTACAATCAGGGGAGATAACCACATATCACCTAACATATCAAGTAAATTACATTCAGGGGGAGATAACAACAGATCACCTCACATATCTAGTAAATTACAAGCGGGGAGATAATCACATAACTTTTAGTATATTACAATCAGGGGGAGATAACCACATATTACCTAATATATCAAGTAAATTATAATCAAGGGGAGATAATCACAATTCACCTCTCACATCAAGAACATACAATCAGGGGGAGATAACCACAGATCACCTCACATATCAAGTAAATTACAATCAGGGGGAGATAATCAAAATTCACCTATCACATCAACAACATAACAATCAGGGGGAGATAATCACATATCAAATAAATTACAATCAGAGGGAGATAACCACATATTACCTAACAATCACAATCAGGGGGAGACAATTATAGATAACCTCTCATTTCAAATAAATAACATAAATGATCAGTGAAGTTATCACAAATAACCTAACAAATCTAACGAGTAATTTTTACATTCAAGGGGAGAAAATCATACATAATTTTGAAAATAAATTTAATATAAATAAATAATTAAGCTCTCAAACATTTCAGTTGTTACCGGCTGAATATTCAATGTCAGGATGAATAATTTCATATCTTAAGGACTAGCTAGCTCATAGGCACATTTAAAAATAATTTAAAAGCGAGAAATTTGTTCGATGAATATTGAAACTTTGAAAAAGCTCAGGCCCAGGTGTTCGTACAATTGGGATATAGAATTGTATACCCCTGAATGTTCTATTAATATCACTGCATAATTTTAATATTTTGTATAGTAAAGTGGTAAAAGCATCAGAAATAAATTTCGTTTCCATATGATCACATTGTTGTTTATTGAATATCTACAACATGAAGACAGCTTCACTACAGCAGAAAATTGATGTTAAAATTAATATAGGATTTTATATGAATTTTTACACTAACATTATGAAAATTGAAAAAAATACTCTAAATTTCTATTGTGGTGCTATTAAATCTGCCGACACCCACCCATCACATGTCCCTGTCATGGTGTATATATGTATGTGTATATATTCTCAACTCATCATACATTTATGGTATCTTTTAAAAACAGAAAATCAAAGTTTGTTTACGTCCACAAAACTGTATTTAAAAGTCGCATTACTAGCATGACATTTTTGATGTACACATAATTTATGATACATTTGCCAGACAAATTTGAGCTTTGACATATATAAGTGATCCTTCATTTTACACACATGAACAAAAACTGAAATGTGTCTGAACTTAGAACTGTATTATCTGGACACCTGTATACACCAGACCTTTACCTTAGTCCCACTTTAATAATAATAATATAATTAATAGTAGTTTGAGGTTCTTATATACCTCTTTATCACAATCTAGTTTGTAGGTTGTCTCAAAGCGGTTCACAAATTATTATCCGTAGTTATAGGGCCTTTGCAACCAGCCAATATCTTCCTCAACTCCCTCGGGAGCATACAGCCGGAGCTTCAATTTCGGCGCTAACAGCTAGCATTCAACAATTCTAGCGCTGCCCAACCATGTACTCATTTACAGCTGAGTAGACTGGAACAAGTGGAGTAAAGTATCTTGCTCAAAGATACAACACAGTAGTGCTATGCTGTGACTTGAACCCACAACACTTTGGTCACGAGCCTGGCGTCCTACCACTAGACTACCCTGCCTCCTAGTGTATACATTTCTATGTAACCCTGTATAATCTGGACACCTGTATAAACCAGACTTCAGTTAGGTCTTAGTGGATACATTTCTATGTAACTTTATAATCTGGACACCTGTATAAATCAGATCTTCAGTTAGATCCTAGTGTATACATTTCTATGTAACTTTATAATCTGGACACCTGTATAAATCAGATCTTCAGTTAGGTCGAGTGTATGTATTTTTGTGGAACCCCAATCTGATTAAAATTATCTGTTACATGGCTCCGCCTGCGTAGTACAAAGTTAACGGAGGCTTACAGATGATTTTAATCAGATTGGTGTAACCCTGGACAAGATGGACACCTGTATAAACCAGACCATCTACTAGGTATGTTTTAATGAAAATAATATCTGTAATCTTTTGTTTGGTTTGCGTTTTAACACAGCTATGGTCATTTGAGGACATGCCAGGTTTTGGTGGTGGGGGAAAACCGAGGTACTGGGGAAAAATCACTGATCTTCGGCCAGTACCTCGCGACTGCCCCACGTAGACCTGAACCTGTGATCCAGTGGTGGAGGGTTAGTAATTATAGACGGTCAGACACCTTAACCACCCGGCTACCAGGCCCCTATATTCTGTCAAGCTTAATATACAAAATAATTCAAATAAGAGTCCAACAGTATTTATCTTGATGTAAAAAAAGCTCTGTCATTTGAAAACTTGCATATTCCAACTAAAAATCTGAGTCCTATTGATGTTTGGTTTAAACAGGTTTCAATCAACAATAAAAATATCTTCATTCCAGATTTTAAGAGTATTTCATGAAGAGAAAGATCAAAACATACTGTATATCTTGACCTTTGATCTTTATCAATGTCTACTTAGAATATGATGATAAAACTGATTTAAACATCTTGTATCATGGGTTAATATACCAGACTGGATTTTCAGACTGAACATTGTACAAATATTTTTGTTTATCAATAGTTATCCCTGTCTTTTTTGCTGCCATTTGAAAATTAAATTATCATAGGATTTAACCATGGAAGTTCTCCAAGCTTTATCCAATAACACTGATAAGTATCTAATTTCTAGACTTTAACATTACTGTCTCAATTGAGGAAGCACATTTTGAGATCCAACAGCATATCTGATACATGTATTACCGAATTGTGCGTGACTATGTAGTTAGGTAAAAAATGTTCATGCACGCAATAATATTTTGAAAATTCAGAAGTTACAAAGTGGCTAAATTGAATTATGTGTAATATGTTTGTGAGCAGAGGATATAACAAATTGACCATCAAACTGTTGCAACCTTATTGTATTAGATGATAAATATTTTCTTTCAAGTTAACATTCATAAATAAAATAATGCCATGAAACTTTAAGATCCTGAAGCTTCAATTTGATTAACTAGGCATTACCAAATTTACTTGACCAACTGTGTATATTCCAATGTATCCTTTGTAAATGTAAAATCTCAAAGGTTTCTTCATCTAAAGATCTTATTGACGTAAATAAAATTTCATAAAATACAGACAAATAACATAATCTTACCTTGATTTCAAAATATTTTGGCGGTTTTAAAGTTTTTGGCAATGTTGAATCGTTGTAGAAACTTCGGTCAAAGATGTAGCTGAAAATACAATGATGAAAACCCATACAAACAGGTGATATTAAGGAGGAAAACATTTTATAACCTGTGAGGAAAATAAAACCTTTAATAAACAGCATGGAATAAAGCTTAAATCAAACTGTTGATTTTCAGTATTTAACATTATTGAGATATGCATGCATTTCTTGTTTTAGCTCATTCACCCTGAAGACAAATTTGAACTCTTCCAATTCAAAGGTTGAATTAGTTCATTATGAAATTTCAGGGGTGAATGATTTAAGGATCCCTGGTTTTTTTTTTACACACAGTAGCCTCCCCTTAATGTAACTGGATGTAATTGTAGCACAGTTGGGCCGAGACTTTTCCATTGATTATAGGTAGTTCAGTCAGTTAGAGCGACAGTACATGTAAAACAACCTGAAGACACTCACACCACTATTGTTGGTCTTTCAGAAATGATTTGTCAAAGCTATAGTCATGCTGAAAACAATGGTAGTTACAGTTTTTGGCAGTGGTACAGGGATCCTTAATGCATTATAATAGATACATAGCATTACATATGAAACAAATATCTTGCTGCACATTGTACTTTGATGTATTTCAAATCCCATCTTGACAGAATACAAGCCGGCTATAGCCACACTATTGTATTATAAAGTTCAGTAAAAGCGATGCTATTGACCCTGGGGAAATTTCTATGTGTTTACTACGTCACCTTCGGATGATAGATACAAATACCACAATCCATCATTCTGTTTACCATACTCAACCTAAAAAATGCCCAACTCCTTATAAACACGCCTAAGACCAAATCCTTTTCTGTCCCTGTCACTTCAACAAATATACCAACAGACTTGAATGAAAATGTCTAAAGAGCTATCTTTTGAAAATTTCGGATGATTCTACAATCATGGTAACTTTCCCCGAGTCACTTAACACAAAGGTTGCTTTTTTTTAGGTCAAATGCAGTAATGTAAATCATAAAACAACAGAAGATTTATTTCCATCTAAGCTCTTACATGTTTGATCCATACAATGAGTAATTTTCTACAGTTTACAGGACAAAATGTCAAAACGGAGACAAAACACACACATCAGTTTTAAATGTCAACAATATCGGTGACAACTTTAGCCTGCCGGTGTGTAACATTCCACTGTTTGTTTTTGTATGTCAAGTCTTGTTAGGTCTGATTTCAGACTGCAAAAAAGTGTACCAGTGTAAAATTTATCAAATATCTCCTATAATATCAAAAGGACCTTAATTAGCATTAAGTTTTATATCTATATGGAGGCAGGATACTAGATAAATTGTATAAGCAACATGGTTTGAATAAACAGAAGAAATGTGCACAACCTAATTAGTGCCCACATTCTTACAAATTACAAATTCCCCTTTGTGATCAGCGACTTTTTAGAAGCAATAGTACAAAAATAAATTTATGTAGAAGAAAAACTTTTTGTTCAATGATGACTTTACATGGAAGAGTCTACTTAATCTGACTAAGCAAATCAATTGTCTTAACCCTTTCACCCCTATGTAACTTTAGTAGACTCTACCATGCATTGATATGGAGGGGTCCATTATGGTCTACAGTGGTGAAAGGGTTAACTAGAACAATTATAGGTCAGCAAGGGCCCAACCATATGCCTGACCGTAACCCCTGCCCAATGGTCTATCTAAAGTAACATTGACTTTGGAATTTTTTCAAATCCCTATTACATATCTACATATCACAGTGTATCAACATGTCATTATTAGTTTCAAAAAAAATAAACTATTGGATCCAAGTTGAGGACTGTAACCCCCCCCCCCCCTCCACCTCCATGGAACTATTTTTAGTAGCAGTGACCTTGACCTTAGAATTTGTTTAACCTACATTTTACAGTTTGTCAGCATGTAAAATTTCAGAAAGATTAATATTACGGATTCCGAGATAATATCCGAAAACAAAAGTGTGGACTGAGACAGACAACATATAGGCCATCCTCATCTCTGATTAGAACCCTGATTTAAGAACAAAAACATTATTAAAAAATTCATGTTCATTCCTTGATATTGATTTACATGTGTGAATCTGCAAGTTGTAAACAAACTTGTAAAATATTTCTCTAAGCTATAAATATATTAATATATCGCTATTTTATTCACTTCAAAGGAACTCATAAAAACAACTATATCCCTGCCTTTTGCTACAATGTATGTCTATCAGCCAGTAGTTAGTTCGAAAACCAAAACACCCTGCAGACTAACTCTGTTAGCAATTTCGAGCCCACTGTTGCAAACTAACTCCCTGGGCAATTTCCTTGCTTCCTCACAGAAATGACCAAACATGCTTGTGACAGGTGGGTAGCTTCACCTGGGGAACCAGAAACTTGCTATACTCCCTCAAACCCATACTTTAAATGTATAATAGCTGTATCTGTATGTTAGCTGTATCTAAATGTCTTAGCTGTAAATGACTGACACTTACAAGGGATCCCCCATAGCGTCTCTGTCGTTCATCAGCTGATCTACATATTCCGTAAAGGAAGTCTGCATGTGGCCGTTTCCTCCCCTTCTCACGATCTCCAGTGAGTTTCCATACAAAACTGACCACTCGCCGTACTCATGCTTTAGGTTCTTCACTGACCATCGGTCAGGCTGTGTCCAGTCCTTGGCTCCATTAGGAAAAGTTACTATCACAGGTTTCTTGTATCTATAAACACTCTCAAACTTTTCACTCGTCATGTCACGTACCGAAAGTCGGTCAATAGTACATATTGAGGAATCATACATTTGATTGGTCTCATCGTCAGCCAATTGCCATCCACCAGTAGAAATTGACTTGGATTTCACTGGAGTTTTTTCAGACGATTTATCTGAGGAACTTTGAGCACTCTTTTTGGTAGTTGATGAGGGTGACTGTGTTGAGGACTTGGATGATGACTCTGACGATGACTTTGAAGATGATTTAGATGACGATTTTGACGATGATTTTGACTCTGGGGAGGGTTTAGACTCCGGTGTAACAGAAGGTGTTGAAGAGGTGGTTGTGTCTTGAGAAACAAGAGTAGTTAAGTCTGACAATGGGACGTACATTATCACCAGATACGTGACCACAGCTACCACTGCGGCCAGTACTGACACTATCTGTAAGTATTGTGGAACACTGATCGGTGACTTTTTGTGTTTGGCCCGTGACGGACTCGGAGGTTTGGAATGGGTCTTGTTTCCCTGGGTGCCATTTGACACTGCCCTATTTTTCTTTCCCATAGGTAAAAGATTACATCTACAAAACAAAAAAACAAAATATTCAATTGATAATACACTACTATAAACAGTTTCATTAATTAACTTTAATTTCAATGTAGTTAATCTCACACACGAAACAGGCAAAACGCCAATAATCACAATCATACAGTCAAGGCCTAATTAAAGTACCAAACTTGTGTAACAGATCCATAAATATTGAAAAAGAAGATAAGAAACAGTACTTCTGAAAAATTATGATAAAATGAAATGATAAATGAAAAGGGTAAAACTTCCATAAGAAACTGGATACAAGCATAGGAGTACATTTTACTAGTTTGGTGATTACATGTGAAGTTTTCATAATTTTTTACCGAAACTGTAGGATTAATGTGTACAAGATTTAACGAAGAACTTACCAAATGGGGCACAATTAACTTCCTTAAAAACCGTAGAAATCCAAACAAATCAAAATATCTGTATTTATAATCACAAAACTCAAATGAGAGGTGTAGGAGGGATTATCCGGACAAAGTTTGGCTTATAATTTTGGAAAAAATGGTATACCTCCAGGAAATTAGTCAGATCTTAAGATTAGTGCAAGAGTTTCACATCATTTCTCAAAATTCAACACATTTCAATCAAATGTGTGTATACAACCTAGGGGAAAAAACCTTTAGAATGGCATATTTTGAGTTGTTGTTTCAGATAGAATATAGGGATAGTTCAAATAAATTAACTGGTTGTGAATAGGTTCAAATTTAGAGTCCAAAATCTTGCGTCTCCCTCAAATATATGGAGCGTTAGCAAGAATGGCTGGATATAATTGATTACAATGTAGCTTATTCAGAAATCCTAGACTGATTTCTTTTCTAATATTTTTCCTGTTATCAACAACACTGACAGAGATGGGTTTTACAGTGCAGTGGCTGAAGATTACACATAAAGCATTTATTGATTCTTTGGAAAGCTTTTCAAAGTTTGAGCAGAATAAAACTGATTCATCTTTCTTCAAAGGATAACTACAAGTATTGAGCAGAAAATCTGTTACAATCTGTTGCATAATTTTGTCAGGCTACAGCAAAAATACTTCTTTATCGATCAGAAATATATAAGCTATTAGACTAAAGAAATCAAAGTTCTGTCACAGCTTTTGATACTTAAAAAATTAGTGTATGGCGCATACATAAAAGTTTCATTCAAGAAGACAATACTGGACTTTTGAAAATACAAAACGCAAATTAGCAAAGCAACAGCTGAACCAATATGTGAATCTTACTTCTGTGAGTCACATTATTTTTAGGTTGCCTATTTATACACATAACAAAGAAGGGAGATTTTCCAATTTACACGCTGGAAATCAGGTGTAGAAATTTATGACTGGAATACTTGAAATAAATAAAAGGAAACATACGGAACATGTTTAAAATATGAAAGAAGATGTAGGAATTTTCTAATTACTTTCATGAATGTGACCTGGTAATTCTGAAAAGATCTAGAGATAATGTTTAAGAATTCAACATTATGTTTGACAAACAAGAGGCCCATGGGCCTTAAAGGTTACCTGAGTTGTAATACAATTGTTATAATTGTTGTGATATTGTCAGAAAAAAAAAGTGAAATAATAACATGATCTAATATAATAAGATCAAATTTACCCCCGTCCTCCAAGGGGGAATGGATGACATGAGGGTTGTGACATTCGTATTTTGACTAATCACATAATGTCTCCATGAAGAGGATTTTATTCTAGCATATTGTTGTCTAAAGAAGACAATTGTTAAAATTTTAGCCAAATTGACCCCTTTTGGCCCCATCCCTGGCAGGTAAGATCCATATAATCACAATTTTACTTTGCATTTGACCATGGAGCCTTCCAGCAAAATTTTATTGAAATCAAATAGGTTCAGTGATTATGGAGAAGTAAAAATTGTGAATTATTTACGGATGGACGACAATTGACGAACAACAACGGACAAAAGGCGATCGCAAAAGGTCGGTCAAGACTTTATCTCAGGTGACCTAAAAACCCCTTAAAAATTGGATAGGTATTGAAAATCCATTTTTGACTTCAATAGATAAGGACATATATCTTATATTTAGTTTCATAGTTCGAGGCTGTAATTTTTTGCTACATTCAGACAGATGCTCAACCTGTTGTGACTGACGAGGAACAGCTTCCACACAAACAGTCCAGTTAAACAATTAAACTGATACTTGTGATTAAATTGTATAAATGGACCATGTTCACAGACATATGGTCTCATTAGCTACCAAAATCCTGTTCAATTTGTAACAATTGTTTCTCTACAACAAATATATAACCAGACATTTACAGATGGAAAAGGCAACTGTTAATTTCAACATTAAACAAAAGGCCAAATGGGCTTTATATATCTCTTTTTTCCCCCATATTTTTATTATACAAGATTCTTTGGATTCCCTTCCAGATTGTCTTATACATGTTATTATTTTCTATTGTCTTGTATAAGGTACCTGCAATCATCAAGTTCATATGAAATAGACGGAACCTTTAGCAGTGTCTATTTCCTTTGGCAGTGTAGATTTCTCCACTCGATCATGCAATACATTTCAGCTGAGGGTTAGATAATATATTAAAGAAATACACTCCTTAATCCTTACACTCTTTATCCAAAGACTTCATGTTACACCCATATAACATTGTAATAGAGGGATTATTTTTAATAATGCTTCAACAACACTCAAAATATTACTTGTGTTTAAGTAAAGAATTAAGGCACTAAACTGTTCAGCTAACAGCAGACCCAACACTTCACTTAACTCTAAAATAGGCAGGCTACGTAAAATGTTCATGTTTAAAATAAAATCAAAATGTTGGCTGAATAAATTTGAAGTTTGATAAGAGAGGACTGTTTTTAGAGACAGAAATGTTCAATCTTATAACACAGGTATGCAGTAAGACGGATATTTTTAACAGAAAAAAAATATGGATGAAGATATACTAGCATACCAGGGACTTCTATTACTACCACATGTTAACATGATCATGCAAACAGAATAAAGTAAGCCTTCAAAAATTTAACCACTGTTAACTATTAACCTTTGTTAACATATGGAGTCCTAATATTTATAGTTTCATTTCAGAACATGTTTGTATAAGTACGCAGTCTTTAAATAGCTATGTCATATACTTAATTTTCTAACAAAATTAAGAATCAAATCAATACACAGGTTTAGGTTCAGACACTTTCAAATGGAAAATCTTCACAGGCCAAACATTTTCTTGTTACCCTTTCCCTGATGGTTTTGAAGTTTTCGTGACAGATTCCTGAAAAGGGTAACGCTACATTTATCCATGTAGATCCTGAAAATTTATTAAGAGTGCCGATATTCAAAAATTATGTTGGATTCGAGGAGGTCTGGGCACAGTTTTTAAACAAGCATGTATAAAAACACACCTAGTGAAGGGACACATGTGCACAACTTGTAGACATATTCTGTAGCAAAAATCGAAGTTACATGTTTGATTTTACTGACTTTTTTAATTATCAATTTCGGCTCATATTATGTTCTCCGCCTAACAAAATTATTTCTTCATCAAAATTACAGGACATTTACCTTACTTGGCTGTGTTGGTCAGCTGTTCACTGAGTGCTCTCATTGTAAGTCAATAAGTATACAGCGGTGCTGTAGCAGCATTGTACAATGGAGGGGAAAAAACATCAACCTTTTTAGAGATCTTTCATTTCACAATAAACGGCCATTTTGTACAATTCTGTCAAACTGGATCAAGAGTATCAATGACCATGAATGTAAATTTTTTCAAGCGAACTCGAATAAATCAACTCGTACTAAAGATGTTATTTCGAACAATTTGTCCCTCCTCCCATCAACGTACAATGTCGGAGCTGTATTGTTAGGGAGTGACGAACCGCTGGTGTCCCAGTCTAGCTGGGGGCTGGGAGTAAATGTCATATGTCTTTTTGGGTAAATTGTGTTGTGATCTGCAGGTTTTTATCAAAGTATAATTAAGTGCACCATATGTTTATGTGGTGTTTTTTTTTACTTGCTGTGTCAGGTATCAAACGACTGGCATTTAACTGTACTTTTCTGTAACAGTTTACGACACCCCGGTAGCTTTCTTCATAAAGTTTAAGGAGAAAACAAAAACAAAAATATACTAGAAAGATTCTTCGTTTATACCCATACGGATAAGTTAAGCTCTATTCTATTCTATTATCAGAAGATTTGAACATTCAAATTAGTTTTTATTTCTGTCACTAGTCCAACCTTATATTTACACTATATATATTCTCTGTCAAAATGAGTGTTAATGACATGTAAACGCAGTGTTTGATATCTGACAGTGCCATATGTTAGCGCAGTGTTTGATATCTGACAGTGCCATATGTTAACGCAGTGTTTGATATCTGACAGTGCCATCAAACCAAATAAAGCAGGGACAACCCAAATCTCACGCCTAAGAGGTTTATAATAGCTATAGCAGTTCCCACTCGCTACCCTCCCTTTTTGCCATGCTAATCCGTCTTTTCTATGCCAGCCCCCTACTGCCCAAGGCTAATTCTAAGCTACGTACTCTATAGCTAGCTGCCCTCCTCCAGCTGCTTGGGGCTCATCTACTTGCCCCTAGCTGGCCCATCCTGTATAGTCCTTCCCTATATAGACTTGCTCCTCTAGTTGTCCCCTCAAATCTTAATTACTCCCTCCCTAATTAGCTATCCCTTCTAGCTGCCTATACCTACAGATCAATCTTAATTAGTCCCTCCATAGGGTATATAGCTTCTCTAGCTGCCCCAGGCCCCAGACAGTAGCCCCAACATACCTATCCTAGACTGGCTACCAGTCCCTAAGTTTTTATGAAGACTTTCTCAGCTGCATTTTACTACTAGCTTATCTCCCCCTTGTTTAGAATCAAACATTCAAGTGATCAAATTTTTTGAGTTTACTTCTTTCTTAATAATTCAATATTCTAGAGACGGTGGCCAGTCTAGACCTATCCCAATACCTCTATTTCTAAGCTCTAGCTGTTGCTGTTCC